TCCTAATAATCCCCATCCACTTGATTGGCTCTATGACTCTCTCTCCTCTCCACCTGTAGCTGGTGTGTGGTAAGCGCACTGGTGCCGTTGTCCTGTGGCTGCAGTCGCATCATCCAGGTGGATGCTGCACACTGGTGGTGGATGAGAAGAGACCCCCTCACATGATTGTAAAGCGCTTTGGGTGTACAGCAATACATATAAATGCATCATTCATTCATTCATATATATATATATATATATATTAACCACAGCTGCCGTTTTTTTACCGTAAATTTTACGGATTTTTTTTTACAGTGTACATATATATATATATGTGTGTGTGTGTGTGTGTGTTTTATAAAATATTAATTAATAATTATTAATATAATAATATATTTTAAATATTAATTAATATTAATTAATAATTTTAATAATAATAAATAAAAAACCATTAATATTTGATATTTTTACATATATAGTGCAATTGTTTTACAACCTATAATATAATATAATATTCTTATGTACAGTATTATGGAATCCATACAGTATATCTACTTTTTCTCTCTTAATGCAGTTTTGGCCTCTAGATGTCAGATGGAACAGAAATTTCAGGAGTTCTGAGACATGCATTTTTTTTTGTAATACACTTGTCTTGTTTTATTCTTATGTTGGGATACATGTAGCGCATGATGTCGTTATGTAAACAGCCAAAAGTAATCCTGAGAACCAGAAATAAAAAGCTTTGTGAATTTAGTATTTTTTCATGTCATTACATTGTTTAGAGCATAAGAAAAAAATGGTAAAATAACATTTTTGAAAAATTATATTTTATGCATATGTTATGCTATGTCCTCTGTAGAGGACACCAGGACTCAGTTTTTCTAAAAATAAAATGACAAGAATAGACATGAAAAGGCAAAAACAATGGGATTTTTTTAAAAATCACCAATCAATCTTTAGGTTTCAGGATTTTTTTATAACTAACTTTGTTTAAGGATCTAAATGTGCTCTGTACAGGACATCCAGATTTAAAACTGTGACATGTGAGGTCTCAGAGAAATACACTAAAATATAATGTCCACTACAGAGGCAAAAACTCCATAGCTGGGTCTCAGGAGGATATTAATCGGCCAGCTGTGTGAAAGAGCGAATGTCAACTTCATGTCGAATGCCTTTGGTTGTCTCTCTTGTGTGTGTGAGTGATCAGACTGAAGGAGTCTGATGGACTGATCGAGGATGAGTAACGTTTCTCCAGATTTGAGCGCTCTCAGTCCTGCTTCCAGCACATCTGCAGACTCCAGAGAGAAACTCCAGGATCTGCTGAATGCTGAGAGAGAGATCCATGACACAGCACTGCAGGGTACAAACAAGAGCTTCCTCGTTCTCTGTATCAGTAAAAACAGTAGATTCTGGATCTGTTAAAATGACATTTGAAATTGCCATTTGACAGTTGCATTATCTTATTAATGCATTAGATATATAAAAATGAGATATTTAGATATCTAAATATATATTTTTTAATGCATTGACCTCTTTTTTTATTTTTACATATACACTGCTGTTCAAAAGTTTGGGATCAGTAAGATTTTTAATGTGTTTTAAAGAAGTCTCTTCTGTTCATCATGGCTGCATTTAAAAAAACACATAAAAACAGTAATATTGTAAAATATTATTACCATTTAAAATAATGGTTTTCTATTATATACATTAAAATATAATTTATTCCTGTGATGCAAAGCTGAATTTTCAGCAGTATATTAAAATAGAAAATAATTATTTTAATTTGCAATAATATTTAACAATATTACTGTTGTATTTTTCTGTATTTCTGATCAAATAAATGCAGCCTTGGTGAGCAGAAGAGACTTCTTTAAAAAACATTACAAAAATTACTGATCCCAGACTTTTGAACGGCAGTGTATATATAAATTATTCTTTAAAACAAAAAAGCTAAACTAAAATTAAATATATGTAAAATAAAATGAAATGTTTTAATGGTTTAATTAAATTTTAATAATCAAAAAAGATGTCTAATCGTTTGAATAAATTGAAACACAATATGACATGTTTTTGCTTTTGCACTAACATCAACTTTTCTCATTTCCAGAATTACAGGCAAAAATAGCCAAAGTGAAGAAAGAGCGCTATCTGTAAGTCTAAGGCTTATACTGTATAAGAACATATAGTAAAAAAAGTTGCATTAAGATTTTGATTTATTGACTTATAAATACACTGATAATTGGTTTGTGATTACTGATGATAATTTTAAGGATTTTTTGAGACTTTCTTTTTGTTGAAGTATTCTGTAATAAATGTCTAATATGATCTCTAACTGTAATAATTCTGCTTTCCTCTCAGAGATGCTCAGAGACTGGGTGAATTTCACAGCAAGAACCAGCAGTTACGAGAACAACAGAAGATCCTGCAGGACAAGATCAGACAGTTAGAGGACAGGTGCTCTGAAAAGGACATTTTTACCTTTTTACCAAAATATTAATATATATTTTTTAAAATCTTATCGTAAGTTTGTTCTGAAATAATGCTGCATTTAAGTTGCAGTTTTGTTTGTCTCTGTGTTTAGGGTGCGTTCTGGTCCATGTGATCGTTGCTCTGTGACGGAGAAACAGACTAAAACGACAAACACTGAGTTTGAAGATGCTAATCAGAAAAATATGTCTGTCATCTCTGAGCTTGATGAGAAATATTTTGTTTTATGTATTATTATTGTTATGTATTGTATTGTGACTCATCTGTGAGGATATATCTACCACTCTATTAGTATCAATGCAAAAATCTGCTCTAATGTGTGTTGGTGAGTTTAGAGGCAGAGAGGAAGACTCTGAAAGATGAAAACAGGAAACTGAGTCTTGAGCTGGAGTGACTTAAAAAGTCAGGGTGAGTCTCAAATTCCAATGAAACATGACAAAATGACTCCACATATATGTAGAGATCTGTAATGATAAAGTGCACCACATGAGTTAAGTGGATGTCTCTGTATGTGTGTCTAGTTCTCCGCAGAATGTGTCTTCTGAGGCCGAGGAGGGGATGATCCCAGACTCCCCTCTCCGTCCGCTATCCTTACCTGTTGCCAGCAAGATGAAATGACGGAAAGAGCAGAACCACGTCCGCTACGCTGAGACACCACTATCACTCTCATACCCTGGTAAGACACATTTGAAATAAGGGAAAGGGCTCATGGGTGGTCACCTTTGGCCTATATATATATATATATATATATATATATATATATATATATTAGTATTTTTGTGT